CTCCGCCCCGCCCCGCCCCACCTTGTCCTTTGTGTCCTGCAAGATAAGAGCGGCCCAGGCCGGCCGCGCCGGGCGGCGTCAGCACCAGAGGCTGGGCGGCTGGGCAGCGGCAAGGCCTATCTGGGGCGAGGGGTTCCAAGGGAAGAGGGAAAGGGGGGGGGGGCAATTATTCAAAAAACTATCGACAGGGCGATGACTTTCTTTGTTGGTGGGCGGGGCGTTGGGCGGTCGGTCGTTCGCCGCGCGTGCGCTGCTGAGAGGTGTGCGGGTGAGCGCCGGACCAGCCAGCTGTCCCCCCCGAGGGCAGGGTGGGGCCGGGGAGCGAGAGAGAGAGAGAAAAGATGAGGAGGGGAGGGGGCGTCGTGGGGCAGCCAGGCTAATGGAAATAGTGAGGGGGAGTTGAATTTGGTGGGTGTGGAGTTTCACTCCTCCTCTATCCCACCCTCGCCGCCTCTGTGTCTCGCACACACAAACTATCTCTCTCTCTCTCTCTCCTCCGGACAAACCACTCTCCCCTCGCGGAATAACGAGATGCAGTGGCCTGGGAGTGGGGTTGAAACATTCACGCACTGCTGCCTCGGAAAGGCTCGCCAACGCCAGTCGATCCGCCGCACTCGGATCTCAGCACTCGTGCCTGCTGCTGCTGCGCCACACGTGAGACGTAGATCGCGCCCCGGTGATCGTGGAGCAGCAGGGGGGCTGATGGAGCTGGCGCACTCGCCTGAGCGCCATGAGCTGCCCGTGCCGGTGTGCGAGGGGTGCACGCCTCACACGCCTCCCCTAGACCACACATTGCCGTCTCTTGGACACGTGAGCACTTCGCGGCGAGTTGCCCGTGCGGCCAGGCCGGGCCGGGCCCGGCGGGGTGGGGCAAGGCGAGGTGTCGAATGGCCCAAGTTTGCCGACCGGCCCCCTGCGGGCTGCCTGCCCGCCTGCCTACATCACCTCTCCCCGGGGGGTGCGGCTGCTGCTGCTGCTGCTGCTGCTGCTGCTGCTGCTGCTGCTGCTGCTGCTGCTGCTGCTGCTACTGCTGCTGCTGCTACAGCCGCGCGCCGCCCCGCCTCGCTCGAATGTCGCTCATACTTCGCTCTCCCTTATACACCGCTCTATTGCATTCCGCGGCCGGCCGGATGCGGCTGGGCGGCGCGCGCCGGTTAACTTTGGAGCGCTCAAGATCAACTACTCCATCAGGGAGGAGCACGGCCCCCGGAATGCGCGAGCGAGATGGAGGGGAAGGGTGGGCCGGGCTGAGGAAGGGTAGGGCGGCGCGGGGCGGAGAGCGGCTCCCTGCCTACGGCCCGGCCCGGCCCGGAGCAGCGCGCCCCCAGCCTGGGCCGCCGAGGCCCGAGGCCCATGCAATATGCAGGCGTGGCCAACGGAAGGACCGGGAGAACGGGAAGGAAGGTTAGGGGTGGGGCGGGGTGAGCTGCGATAAGCGTGTGTATGTGTGTTGGGGGGAGGGTGG